AAAAGATTTTAAATTGACTTTTACAATTTAAAATTCAAATGACCGACCGCCCATTTTCAAATTTTTTTTAAAAAATTTACTATAATAGGTAAAAATAAATTATTTAGGCGGGATTTTTACTGCTATTTCAGGTAAATACCAAACCTTTTTATATATTTATAGATATGCACCGCTAAAATGAGTTAAGTCTAAAATTTAATAAAAGCGAAAAGAAATATTGCTTAATAAACAACTTCATTTATTAGTTTTCTAATATAATAAAGTAGTATGTAAAGTCATGATAGATTTATTTACACATACTATAGATAAAAATAGAATATTGTAATAAGAAAATTTTAATACGAGAGAACGAAGAAAAAAAATTGCTTAATAAACAACTTCATTTATTAATTTTATTGTAAAAATTAGTATATCCATATTTATTTTATTCAAAATATATGCATATTACAAAATTCTGTAATTAAAAACATAAAATTTGATGTGGGGCCTAGGCCCCACCTAAAATGGCTATGTATCAGCTCCTGATAGAGATGTACGTAACACTCACATAAAGTGAGTCCACTTGATTTTTTTTTAAAAAAATTCTATAGGTACATAATATTGTACATAGAGGTGTACATAACATCATTAAGTGGGTCCTACCAAAAATAAAAAATCAAGTGGACCTACTACATGTGAGTGTTATGTACACTTCTATAGACATTTATTATGTATTTGTAATATTTTTTTCTTGTTTTTGGTGGGACTCACTCAGTGTGAGTGATATGTTCACATCTATGTACATAACAAATGAACATAAAGGTGTACATAGACGTGGCTTTTCTGGCTCCCACAGACGGCGCCAATTGATGGTGCTATTGCACACTGGACCGGCCTTCTTCGATCTCCAATCGCCTGAGCCCTCAGACACCTGCAAGGACGCCGTGAAGTGTTTCCGACGGTAAACTTCCGACGCTCAAGTTAGTAGGGTATCGAAGAGAAGCACAATTTGTATATTAGGATTTTGTAAAATAAAAACTCATACCTCCCAAGCGTAAGACCCATCTATTTATATATCACTTCTTTGCTTACCCCACACGCTTTACCCTAATTGTTATTGGGCCAAGCCCATATGTTAAAACATCTGGTTGGTCACGTTCAATAAGTCCAAACCGAGCTGTTAGTAGACCGAACCCGTTTAATGCCAATAAACCAAACCGATTTCTACCGGTCTACATAAAGATTCTCATATGATATATCACACATGGAGTGACAATATGTCCTTATTTGATCCAATCCTTATATGTATATATAACTATATTTTTACATTTTTTATTAAACTAAATCTAATATGAAATATAGATAATAGATAATGTTGTTTGTTACGTAAGCATTAGTTAATGGTGCAATAAAACCGGTAATTGGAAGTCCCCACGAAATTAATTAAAGAGTAGGTACAACGTACTTACACATTTGTGTCATTTTCGTATCGCTGGATGTTAATTAATGCTAACATAATGGGAAGACAATGACGAACTAACGAGACTGTAAGTTGATACAATAATGTGAAATTTTAAGAAGATTAAATGTATTAAAATAGTGAACGGGTGTAGAGATCGCACACTCGGGTATTATTCTGGTGGGGTCGTCTTTGTGTTTGTCTTAGTATTTTAGTGTCCTAATTTTTTTTGTGTTCTCGAGTTTTACCCTGTTTGGGTCAGCTATAGGCGGTCTGCTGACTGTCCTCCCATTTTTATTAAGTTATGACTATTTGTATTCAGTTGTTGGTTGTTTGTATTCAGCTGATTGCTGCTCCTTTGCACATTTGTGCACATTTATATAATACCTCTATTATTTCAGAAAAAAAAAAGACTAAATTAATTATGTAATCGTAACTCGTAAGTTGTTCTTGAAAATTTTGTAGCTAAGAATGCAACTAAATGTTTTACAACACCCATTTAGACTTGTCTTACAACACACATGTTTTTTTATTGCCAAGAATAACACAAGCATTACGCTTCGGAGTAACTACAAAGATCTAAAGCACAAGAATCGCAATTAACAACTTTTCACAACACCATATTTCACAGTTAAGAAAAACCATTTATACGCTCCTTCTCGACAAGGTGACTCTCAATCCATTCCTCGCCTGCAGTATAATCGAGTCACGTGGGGCCACCGTGTGGCCTTTAACGAGTCGAACTTTGTAACGGTACAAGATTGTTGCGGCCACCATTTTCATCTGAGCAAAAGCCATTTCCTTACCCAAACACGTCCTAGGTCCCACATTGAACGCGGGGAACTTGTAAGATGGCTCGTGCTTGATGCCCCCTTTTGCCGATATCCACCTCTCGGGCCTAAATTCCAAGCAATCTTTACCCCACACACCCTCCATTCTCCCGACCGAGTATAACGAGATTATGACCTTCGTGTGCCGTTTGAGGTAAAGCCCGCTCAGCAAATGATCGGGTCGGATTGGGGTCTTGTGCTCCAAAGCCACCGGGGGGAAAAGCCGAAGCGACTCGCACAATGCGCCGTGCAGATAATTTAGTTTCCGAGATTCCTCAACACTAAAAAATCTGCATTTATTATTACTGTTACTGCTACTATTACTCCTACTACTACTGTCATTCTGGTTCAAACCCAATTCCCGCTCGATTTCATTTAGAACCTTCCTTTCCTCCAAAGGGTTCGTGGCTAAGAGCCAGAAGAGCCATGTCAGACAAGTGCTCGTCGTGTCCCGGCCGGCAAACATCAAACTCAAGGCCGTATCCCTTAGAAAATCACTCAACTCACGAGACGAGTCGATTTTTTTCTCCTGATACAACATTTTAAAAACTCTCAACACATTAAAATCGTAACTCTCCTCATTTTCGTTTTCCAGCTTCACTCGAGGATAGATAAATTCATCGAACGCCCGGCGTGCATCCCTCAGAACCCTTTCATTTCCAATATTGAGCCACTTTTGGATCTTCCAAATGGTCTCCGGTATTATATGTCTGTGCAGGAGCGGCTCGGCAGCGTGGTCAAACGCCTTGTCGCAGTCAACTCGGGGCAACCCGACCCGCAGGCTGCACGGGTCTTGACCCAACACGAGCTTGCAAATATTGTCAAAAGTGAAACGGTGGAAAATATCCTGCAGGTCGAGATCCGACCCGCTTTCGCAGAACCCGTCGAGAACGGGCAAGAGCCCGTTTTGGACCTTGGCCCAAACAAGCCCTTCGAGCGACCGGGAAAAATCGGGTCGGGTGAGAAAGGCGAGAGTGGTCCTCCGGTGGACCTCCCACAATTCGAAATCGGAGTTGAAAATCCCGTCGCCCAAGATGTCGAAGATTTTCCGAAATCGGGGGCCTTTAGGGTAGTTGGGGAAATTCTTGCTGAAAATGTGGTGGATGTTGGCCGGGTCGCAGGTGAAGACCATGTCGATGTTGCAGAGCCATGGGCCCTTGAACTCGAAGGTGGCACCACACTGGCTGAGGACCTCGGTGGCGTAGTCGTGGGCCCGGTGGATGTTCTGGAGGACCGCCGGCAGCATGCCGACCACCGGCCAGTTGGTGGGCTCGCTGGGTTGCTTGCCAAGTCGGACGATTCTGTAGAGGAGGTGGAGGATTAGGGGAAGTAGGACAACGAGGAGAAGCCAGTCCAGAGATTGGAAGATGGTGGCCATTTTATTTTTTTTTTTGTTCTGTTTTATGGTGTGGTGTGAAGAAAGAAAGTTTTGTAATCTTGAAATTTTGGTGGTGGCCTTTGTTTTATAGGTACGATGAGGACAAGGGCAGTGGTTCACTGCAAACCTTTTTTCCACCATATTATTGAATGCAAAGCAACAATCTATATGGGTTCGAGTTAGTTTGTTTAATTGCAAGATTGAGGGGTACAAACGTAACTTAGTGAAAAAAAAATAATATTTATTCTTTAAATGTTCTTATATATTATATCACTCTTAATTACATAAATTCAAATCTCATTACATATATCTTTTTTAAATTAACATTTTTTTTTCTTTTGCATTGGATATTCTTACATGGTCAACATTCATGGATTTACTTATAATAAAAATAAATATTTTATTATTTAAAAAAATCAATGACAAACACAATTTAGTAGTTAATTTTAAACTTACAATTATAATCTCAAGAACACCTAAAATTTCAATATGTATCAAATCAATACTGACTTTTGTGGAAAATCGATATAATTCAATTATATATGTTGCCTACAATATAATACAAATATAAAATACACAACTTAAATTTTAAGAAAATATCTATGTAATTATTTTGCAATATAATTATATATATACTATTTTTTTTTTACAAAACTGCACAGGGGCTCGTGCCCCTACGGGCCCCTGCCTAGGTCCGCCCATAACCTTATAGACGAAAGATCAACACTAAGCAACATATGAAAGGGTAAGTATTTATTTGTTGGTATGTATATGTGTGTTTATGAATACATCTAATGCGATATTTATAGACAAATAAAGTAAGAATGCAATGATTGTCGTTAACCAACTAAAAGTTTAGGCGCTTGACACATGTCTTCATGCATGGTACGATTATTGATAATGAGACTGATTAAGCGGTCACTTTGCTGGTATAATATTGTAAGGTTGAGTGATCCACATTTGGTATCAATTGGTTTATCGACACAGCTCGGACTAAAAAGAGATCGTCGTAGAAGTACTCTTGGACTCTTCGGTTTCTTGCACATGGCTTTGGGCTTGAACTGATATAGGCCCAATAAATGCATGGGCTCCGCGACCTAGATGATAATGGGCCAACCCTAAATATTATTAGTGTATAACATAGGGCACTCTATGTTTCAGAGTTGCGTTGAGACCGCCAAATTGTTACGGATCCTCAGCCGCCCTGCGTTCCCAGTCGACGAGCCTTGCATCATGATCCCCGATGTCTGGCATCCAGGACTTGCCGGCAGCAAGCTGCCAGCCGCCTACGCCTAAAGCACAACCGCGTGTGCTACTCATTGTCGAGCTCGCGGAGGGCAGGTCGGGGTGGTCTGGTCGTCATGTTCTTCGTCTGGTGTTCGTCTGTGTTCATCACGTTTGTCGAAAAATACTAAATTATTTACAATTTTGATCCTACGACCACTGAGACCTTTACATCTTCGTTCTAGACAGAAGTAAATTATACAGCCTCATGTCGTGTATTTAAATTTGTTACAAACATTCAGCAATCCAGAATTCTTTGGCATATCCGATTATTTTAAAAATGTGTATAAATTAAAACGCATACATTTGGGTCCATAATAGCTAGATAATATAATCATGAAAATGATTACTGCGTATATATGTACCACATTTGCTGCACCCATACGCAAATAATTTATGCAAAAATAATTCAATTATTCAACAATAACCTGAGTTAACCTTGGGCTCTGATACCAATTGTTGGGTTCAGTGAGGAATGTCTATTATTGTTCTCTAATTAAATCCTAATGAATTAATCCTAATCACAATGGATCTGAAGATTAGGATCAAGATCTTATTCGTTATTAATGTCGGCTTAGAGACATCTTACATGGCCTATATGGCTAGACGAACAATTTCTGACTTTTTTTTTTCTCTTTCTCCCTTACTCGTTTATGCTCGTCCACTTCAAGAGTCTTACCTTGTATTTCTTTACCGTGGTTGGGCATCGTGTAGGCGAAGATCTCATGAACTCGTGTGGCTGATCTACTCTTCTCTCCTTGTTTCACACGATCATGAGCCCTATATTTATTATGGGTGGCATGTGAATCTTGTGATGTCTAGAAAGTGAATGAGACACCTACATGGTTTATTTATAGGCTACAACAAAGACCTTAAGGTGGTTAGGAATAGGTCTCCCAATGGGTCAATAAATACTTGGGTTATTGTTCACTATATTTCTGGGCCATTAATAATAAATTAGTTCGTTAAAGAATTATTATTGCACTTCCCTTTCCACAAATAATTACTCCAGATCCACTATCCTCGATTTATCCCTTTATAATTAAGATATCGACATTCGTTAATTAATTTAACTATTGACAATTTAATTAATTAACTTCTTAGATTTCAGAGAACAGTACCATTCAATCCTTATTATTATGTTAGAACTCAATCTTTCTGCAGAGCTTGAAATAATAATTCTTTTGAGCACATCTCAATAACGCTGTCACCGTAGCTAGCACACCAAGACACAATAACCAAATATAACCGATAATACACCACGTGATTAATGATAATTTCCAACTCACCGAGTTATTGACCTAGTAGAATAAGTCTCACTCTTTGTTGAATAAAGAACCATTATTAATCAACGTGTCAATCACTATCATTCGGGTTTAGACAACGAGTGATATCATGAAGTCTAGTTTATTTACTGGGAAACTATAAAATAAACTTGTTCTCCGTCGTCCAGTGTACTAGTATACTTCATTATTTAAGTAAACTAACTTGAACCATACTATAACCATACCGGCAGGTTGTTCAATTGATATCTCAGTTATGAACCTTATTTATATTTTATAAGGAATTGATAATATAATCTTTTGTGTGAGAGAACATCACATTATATTATCTTCAGTGTCAGTAACAAGACAAAAAAACAAATCCATACATAAAGTAAATTTCACAACATTTGACTTATCATGATTCTCTTATTCAAAACGGAATTAAAATTCAAACAAAGTATTGCCTTCAATATACAAACCATCAAGATGCTCCCCGAAGAAGAATTTTATTCGTTTTTTTTTTAAATACATTTTGCGTACTCTACATAATCCCCAACAAATTTTTATTTGGCACCAAAGTAGTGTTAGTGTTGTCGTGGATCTATCTACTCGTACTGTAAATCCATGATGATGATTTTTTTGCGGTCTTTAGGCAAGGGGACTTGGCATATTATTGCCAAAGTTGATGCTTCTCATGCTTAACTTATTTTATTATGCTTGAGAATTATGGTTCAGTTTCTGGGCAGATAGTAAATCTTGAGAAATCTTTCATTTTCTTCTCAAAAAGTACTTCTTTAGGAGTTACGTCAGATATTATAGTCATTCTTCTTGATATTAATTATTTCGAAATAGAAAAATACTGGGTCTACCTCTAGGAAACAGTAGGTCTAAGAGAGAAATTTTTAAGTTTATGAGTGAAGCAGTCCATCACAGAATATCAGACTAGAAAATTTTATTTTTGAGTGAGACTGGGAAGGAGGTTCTTATTAAGTTTGTAGTTGGAGCTACTTCTACTTACATAATGTCATGTCTTAAACTTCTCTTTTTTGTGTATGATGACATTTGTAGAGAATATGCCCAGTTTTGGTGGGGGAAAAAGAGGGCGAGAGGAACAAAATTCACTAGCTAAATAGGAGATGCTAGCCAAACCTAAATTAGAAGGAGGGTTGGAGTTTAGAGACTTAAATGCTTTTAATGAAGCTCTTATCATAAAGAGTTGGGGATAGTCCCAACTAAACCTAACCTGCTAATGAGTAAAGTCATTGAGGGTAGATAATTTAGTAATGAAAAGATCATGTTTGTGAAAGCTAAAAATATGGACCCATGGCTGTGGAAAAGTTAGCTTGGGGCCAGAGGTCTTTGGGTTGGGTACAAGGTTTCAAATTGGTGATTGTAGCGCAATAAGTGTTTGGGATTCTCCTTGGATCCACAATATTCCCTATTTCAAGTCTTCTTGTCATTTTCTTACTAATATGGGTTGATTAAGCAAAGTTAGTGACCTTATTGACCAGGACCAATAAGAATATGACAGAGAACAAATTCTATAATCCTTTGATCAATGGCTGCTCAGGACATACTTTTGATCCCTTTAAGTCACATAGCATAGAAGGATAAACTAGCTAGTGTGGAATTGGAACAAGTCAGGTGATTTTAATGTCAAGTCTGCTTAGGAGACTATTTTAAAGCATGCAAAAAATATCTTAAATCAGCAGCTACCAGCAACAATGACAACCAAATTCAGAGAATGTAGCAATTCAGTTTGAAGCTTCAAATCTTAAGCAAGAATGTATGGTTTTGTTGGCACTAATCTTCAGTTATGAAAAAAAGGGACAGAAAGAGATGTGATTTGTGAGGTTTGTGGGGAGGAGGGAGGAGGACTCAAACCATACATGTCAGAAGGCCTTAAATTGTTGGAAGCTAGTTGGGGTGAGTTAGACTAAGGTGGATAGTGTTGGAATAGGGTTTAGAGAGTGGTGGTTGGAATCTTGTTGTATTGATGATGCCAAACGCCTTAACGATAGAATAAGTCTTTCTAGTTATCTTCTTTGTTGGCTTTGGAAAATTAGCAATAGTTGCGTGTTTGAGAAGGATGAGGAAGGATAGGATAATGGAGTATGCTAGGGGGGTGGCTAGAGGTTTTTTTTTTTTTTTTTTTT